TACTAACTGGACTGGGGCTCTCCAGGACCAGGGTTGGAGACCCCTGTTGTAGGGGTTCAGATTCTGCACATCAGCTTCCGGGTCGAAGCACTGCCGACTGCGTCCTCACACAGTCTGCATTGTCTTGTCAGCGCCCTGCCACATTGCCTGTGATGACATGAGCACAGTTGAAAGACTGGCTCTCTGTGTCTGTGGAGCTAAGCTGTGGAATTAAGTGTATCCATAGGAAACTCAGCCACTTTTATTTGCAGTTGTTTCACTGTTTTCTCTTTTATTTTTTCTGCCTTTCTTCATAATGTGTTTTCCTTTTTTCTGTGTTCTTGCACATCGGCTTGAGCTGCAGGGTGTTGCAGGGCTCTAGAAATGAGCTTTGAGCTAAGGAGGATACTCCCTCAGGTTGAGGAGACATGAACTGGTTGTTGTGGTCTATACGGATGTAGAGAAAGGCCCTAGGCATGTTGTGGTGAGGGATCTGTCCTTGAAATAGGAGTTTGTCACTGACTCGCCCTGCGTCAGCAGTGTTTTGTGCTCTGTCCTTTAGATGAGATGGAAAACTGGGGTCCTGCTGCCTGTGACTCTTCACCAGCAGGGCCTGATGCACAGCTCACCCCTGCAGTCTCTGTAAGTCACTGGTAACAGAAGTCTGTGTCTGCCGGCTCCATGACTCATTTTTCTTATTCACAGCTGATACCTCCTTTCAAGCCTCAGGTGTCGTCGGAGACAGATACCAGGTATTTTGATGAAGAATTCACTGCACAGACGATTACAATAACTCCCCCTGAGAAATGTGAGTATGTTTATATTTGTTTAGGATATTTTGTCTACTTGACTCAGCGGAGTCATAACTTGAGTGCAGAACAGTTTCCTTTAAAAAAGTTATTCTTAAAAAAAAAAATTGGGGGCGGGGCGGTGGCTCTGTGGCTCAGGATCTGCGCCTGTGGCTGGAAGGTTGCTGGTTCAAATCCTGCGGCCAGCAGAGGAATCCTACTCCGTTGGGCCCCTGAGCAAGGCCCTTAACCCCAGCTGCTCCAGGGGCGCCGTATAAATGGCTGACCCTGCGCTCTGACCCCCAGCTTCTCTCCCTGTCTGTGTGTCTCATGGAGAGCTGGGGTATGCGAAAGACGAATTCCTAATGCAAGACATTGTATAGGGCTAATAAAGTGATCTCTTAAAGAGTGAGGACAGGGCTCTGCAAAATCAGGGTCCTACTTTTCTTTCTTTCAAGAGTGGTGTCATATAAATCTGCTCTCTTTCCCTCCTGGCCTTTTAATTTGTAACAGTGCTGGTGTAGCAACATTGCGCATGCCCCTTCACCAGACAGCCATGTATGATCATTCCTGTTGTAGAAATTCGAATTCTGTGCTTCCATTCGCACGCATTCGGAGGTACGGTATGTGTGTAAGCCTGTGGGATTGCCTCCTTTTATCTGCCTGAACAGCTGTCATTAAAATCCTTCCTTACTGCCTCTGTCCGTTGGCCTGAGCTTTGCTAATTTGGCGGCAGAAAAATGGCAGGTAATCAATCAGCTACTGTGGCGAAGAGAGAAAGAAGTAAGTTTAATACCATTCTCTGCAGCGACGCGTTGGGTCCCTGTCCTGAAGCTGGCAGGCTCGTCAGACCGTTCCATGTGAAAGGGCTGCTGATAAGTAAGATACCAGGGCCTTGCCATGAAAAGCAGTGGTTTGCCACAAGCTGGTCATCAGTGTTGCAGCAGCACAGCTCAGACCGCAGCTCCTTCTGCGTGGAGTTTGCATGTTTGTTCTGGGAGCGCTGGAGACGTGCTGGCTGGGTGCACCTTCCCCCAGGTAGCCCTGACTCTCTCTCCTCCGCAGTTGATGAGGACGGAATGGACTGCATGGATAACGAGCGAAGGCCCCACTTCCCCCAGTTCTCGTACTCTGCCAGTGGCCGGGAGTAGGAGCAGCAGGCCCCAGTCCTGCCCCCCGCGGTCTCGGCTGCCACCGGAAATCGAGTCTTCAACGGCGCCGCCCCACGGCCACCACCACTCGAGCTTCTCCTCGTTTGATCTTTCTCCCGTCTCTTTATTTTTTTTACATAGACAGGAGAAACATTCGGTCTTGTTTTTGAAGGGACTTGGGATTTTGCGAGAGGAGCCAGAATCCCTGCTGCCTGACCTTAAAGCCTCTTACAGATGCAGCATCGATGTCAGCTGCAAAGTGCATTTTTTTGTGTTTGTTTTCGTTTTGTGGGCTCACGTAGTAGTCTTGCGGAAGCCATACACATTCCGGATTGGGAACAATAACACCAGGACGCTGTCTTTGCTGTGATGAGAGGCGGATCGCTTGGCTCCGGGTGCGAGGTGTGTTGTGCTTCACATCCCACTCCCTCCTTCTGTGGATAAGTGGATCCTGCTTCCCAGTAGTCACCTTGGTCAAACCTCAGTGGGCCGGAGTCGCACAGTGTCTAAATATACTCCACAACAGTCCGGCACTTAAACCTGATCTTGTGTTGCCGTGACGTGTTTCCTTGTGTATCTAGTTCCATTGGCTGCTGCAGTGACTGAATCGCTTTGGGGGTTTTGAATCGCTTTGGGGTTTTGTTAAAGCGTCGTTACTGTTTGACACAAGCTACACCGCACAAAATTATTTTTCACAATTTAAAGGAGAGGGGCAGCTAAATGTTTCTGATTTAGAACTGCCGCCTCACTCAAGCTACCTAGGGACATTGTGCGTTTAGTTTGATAACAGCACTGAAATCACTCCTGCTCACAGGTCAGGAAAGCCCCGTTTTTAACACCAGGGGTATCGGCCAGACCAAACAGCCTCTTCTGCTCTCAAGTCATTTGAGACTCTGCTGGGTTTTTGCCTTCCTGGGTAAACGAGTGCAAATGGAGCAGGGTTCAAAATTCCTAACAACTCCCCTCGCAGCCCTGTGCTTGTGATGCACAAAGGTACATGATAAACGCCCACTCACTGAGTAAATAAGCAAAGTATGTAAAAGAAAAGCCTTTCCACACAGTCCCCTCTATGAAGGTGAACCCAGAGTGCCCAGGACTGCTCCCGGTGTGTAAGGCCTTGTGAGGTGGTACCCCAGCGCACAGAGGCAGGTGATCAGTTCCGTCTTCGGTCATTCCCCGAGCCAGGCGATCCGCGTCCAAGGGGAGCCGGGGGGTTGGGTGCGTTGCGTCGGGCCGGTCGAAGAGTCCAGGTCCGCTGCTGTGTGAAAGGAAACGAAGGTACATGTCCTTGCGTAGGCTGGGGGACCCCATTATTTTTAAATGGCACTGGCTGCAAGTGGTGTTTGTTTTGATTTTTTTTGTACCTGTGATTTTTTTTGGCCTGATGGCAGTTTTTTCTCCTCCTCCTCCTCTCCGTTGATGTAAATATGCAATGCTTTTTTTTTTGTTTGTTTGACATATCATTGCTAGACGGCAAGCAAGTTTTGTGTTATTGTGTTGACAGCCAGCTGACAAAAACAAACAAACCTGTGGGTGAGGGCGAAGGTGCTGTCCTCAGTTTGCACACGAGGGTCTCCCCTTGGGGGACGCCTGGACACAGCGCGCCTGCCGAGCGGCGGGGCGACAGCAGGGGGGCGCTGTTCAGAGCTTTCCTGTCTGCTGGGTTAAAACACAAAGGGGGGCGTTTTTGCACCAGACTGTGTCCTGCATCTGCTTCTAGACAAGTTTTATTTATTTTTTTTAAATTGACTTATTATAATTATTGTTATTATTATTATTATTATTCAAATTATTGTCCAGTTTGTCTCTGGTCCAAAAGGCACCACTGCAGGTCTGAAGAATGTAGATGGGTGTGTTACTAAGGCCTTTTTATTTGTATTCACATTTCGTTAGCTTTTGCGTTTTGGTTTTGTTTGTTTTTCGTACCAAAATATGGGACAAGAACCCTGCAGCGGGATGTCTTAGTAGTATTTATTTTGACTGTAAAGACTTGTGAATTTGGGTGGGGGAGGGCAGGGCACCGTTGTTTTGATATTGTTGACACACTTTGTTGTGTTGCTTTTTGATTTGTTCTTTTCCAAAGGAGAAGGGCTGCTCGAGCTGGAGGTTCCCCTATTGGGGAGCAGAGCGCTTGGTTCTGCGCAGGCGTGTGTGGGGCAGGGGAGCTCAGCAGGTCTTCTTTCTGAACCCGTTTCACTGTAAATACAGCACCTAGCGAGCATGGCATCTCGGGAGGCACGCTGTGCCCCAGAAACACACTTCCTTTCCCCTGCTTTTCCAGGCCAGGTCCCGCTGTGCACCAGCAGTGCTCCGGCAACAGGCAGCTCGCTGGTCATGGAGAGTTTGCTCTCTGGATTTCCGGGGTGTCTGGGGAGGCATGCTGGCACGAAGGCGGTAGGTCTTGAGTGTGCTGGAGCCCGCTGTTGAGCAGAGCCCTGCCAGCCCTGTCTTCTTCTCCTGGTCAGGCTGCTTGAAGGCCGGAGCTGGTCTCCCTCAGTCTCCATCGAAGGTTTGAGCTGCGGCGCTGTGACGCACACCAGCACACCAGGACTTCGTGATCGCCGCCCCCTGTTCTTCTCACACGCAGCCCAGCGAGAACAGAGCCAGCCTGCCTTCGCTGTGCGATTTCACTCCTCCGCGGCGTGATGACCTCACAGTCACCTGGCTCTCTCCGACAGCCTTAGGGGACTCGGGGCGTCGTGGGGTTCAGACTCACGCCTGACTCTCCCTGCTCCTTCTAGAAGGACCCCAGAGTCAGGATACAGGATGATGGCAGGGGATCCTCTCAGAGCTCACATGGGGGGAGATGAGAGTTTGAAATCCTCTTCAAATTCCTTCCCTTTAGTTTTTCTCCAGTCAGAGTCTTTTAATGAAACATAAAAATCCTGGATCACCTTGTTCAAACATGATTTGGGAGAAAAACATCCAACATGGACCTAGGCAGCCTGCTGGAGGAGAGATAGTCACTGAAGTCCATTCTCAATACCTGGCCTTCCAGTTGTTTGTGCAGGCAGGGGAACACCAGACCCTGCACGTTACAATATTAATGCCTTTGTCAGATTTGTATAATGCTTGCAAGACAGTGAGTGCTAAAGAACAGTTAAGAACTGCATTTTTCTAGAAACACTTTGAAAAATTTGAAATTTGAAAAGACGTCTTGGGAGCCCCAAGATGAATCATTCAAGAGTTTCTTCCCTGTTACGCTCTTCCTTAATCTCAGTTTGTGATCCCATTGTTGAAGTTTGTGCCGTTAACGTTATCGTTTTGCACAGGTTAAGTGAATACGTCAGCATTTTTTTTTTCCTATAATGTTTACAAGAACAGTTCGGACTACTTCAAGAAATTTGCCCGGGTGTTAATTCGGATGGGGTGAGGGGGGTTCTTGTGTTTATAACGCATCCAGTGGCACTGTCTGTCCATTAGACCGCAAGGATAGCTGTCTGCGGAGCCAGCCAGCCGTGACATCTTACTGTCGGCGCATTAGCGTGTTTTGACTCCCCCGGCAGTACAGTTCCTCCCCTGCGAGAGGAAGACGTATTGGAAATACTGTATAAACATTAATATAATGGTTTGCAAACATTTTTGGGCACAGGGTTGAATGGTTATTAAACATTATAAAAGCAAGGTTAGGGTGACTAAATTGGCTGTAGTTCCACCCTGACACACAAGGTGCTTCCCAGTGTGGGACTGTTCTCTCGTTCTTCTGTCTGTGGCGCTTCCTCCCTGCCTGTGGTCACATTGCATTTGATCATTCTGGTTTCTCGCAGGGAAGGGGGAGGTCTTTCTCTCCAGCATGAAAGCTTTGGTTGGATATCTGTAGCTTCAGGTCCCGGAGAGACCAGTCCGTGATCCGGAGCAGCCAGGCTTGTGAAGATCATCACATAACCACGGATATTTCAATGTGAGATGCATTGCCTGGACTTTTCAAAGTGTCTGTTAGCGCTGGTATAAAAGTATGTAGGAGTCGTTACATTTCAACAGGCCAGCGTGCTTCTGCTGATGTGAAGCACCTCTTCTCAATGTGTGAAAAGCAGGTGTTCAGGTTTTCCAGCTCTCTTGCTCTGAACATCACGAAGAAGAACAGAAGTAGCCATGATGGGTTCAGTCCCATCAGTCTGAAAAGCACAGGGAGCGTGCGAGGGGGTCTGAAGTGGAGCGCAAGGTCAGGGTTGTAAGACGAGCTGCTCAGCCAGCTCGCACCAGGCCTACTGCAGGCGCACAGCAGAGGGCACGAGCAGCTCTGGACCTGTCCGCAGGGAGAAGTGCCACACCCCTTCCTGAAGGAGCTGTCGGGGCTGTACAGGAGGCAGTAGACTGCTGTGCCCAGAACAGAGGGGAGCGGGAGAGCTGTTGGCGTGGAGAGTGGAGCAGGGGTTGTACGCAGAGTTATTTCTGGTGAAGATGGAGAGGAGTTGAGCGTTTGTGTGTGAGGAAATGAACCAGCCCAGCCTGCCAACTGTGAGAGAGACCGCGATTGTGGCATTCCAGAATTTGCACATGAGCAACGTGTGTTACGCACTAACAGCGCATGTGATATCTATTCGGATATTTTCCTGTTACTGTTGGTAGTCGGTCAAGTTCCAGACTGCAGAATCTCCCAGTGTTGGCATAAAATCAAAGGGTTGTGTCAGAAGGAAGGGAGAAATCGATGGTAGGAAACGTAAGGCTTTGGTTAGGTTTAGGGTTGGGTGACTGGGGTTCTCTTTAACAGCACCCCTGTGTTACTATCTGGCATCATAACTGATCAAGACAACCCATTGATTCTAGTCACTAGATTCTGATGTAATTGAGATAACCGCCGAGTCCTCTTAGACGTGTCTTATTGTCAAGTTGCTTCAGGTATGGGTGTGTAGTCTAGTATAGTCGAGTTAATGCAGGTTGCCAGGTAAAAGGAAGATGGATGAGTATGTTGATTTGTTAGAGTTTTGCATGGTTATTTAATGCAGGCAGGAGTTGTAGTAAAGGATTGACTCGATGACTTATTTGTTCAAGGAGCACTGTCAGTAAAAACTGGGCCAGTTTTTTTTTTCCAAAGGTTAAGGTTAAGAGCAAAATCTTGATTCTCAAGCTGTCTTTCTGAACTATTTCTTTTCTTTAGTGAAACTGAGAAACCCAGTTCCCTGTCCACCACCATTGAAAATGTGTTGCCTGGGTCTGGTTCATCCTGTCACTGTGTGGTGCTTTTGATTTGACTGAAATTATTCTAAAAACAAAACCTCGAAAGATCCATAAATAGGAGCAAATAAAAGTTCTGTAATGCAGAGAAAACTAATGAAGCAGAGAAACATTTAGATCACTGCATTCGGGACGGGTTCCCTCAGATCATGTTCCTGCCTGGTGACCCAGGGGTCTGGGAATCCTGCGCTGCTGCTCGTGATGGGGATCATACAGGTGGCAGAGAGCTGCTGGACAGACATGGGGAAAGTATGTTAACTTGCACTGAAGAGGCAAAATTTATTCCAGTTAAGAGTATATTCCTGAGTGAGGGGGCCGATATCTGCTTTTTTGTGCATGTTGGACTTGTGTGCTGATAAAGGGGAAACATTGCTTGTTTTTGTTGACCAGTGGAATAGGATTGGGGGGTTATGGATCAATCCACAGGGATCTGGCTGTGAATGGGGAGAGTGCGGGGGACGTGGCAGGGACTGCGCGGCTGTCTCGCCCGAGTGCACGGATAGCATTCACTCCCGCCTCGGCCCGTAATCCCTGTCTGTCTTCTCGATGGGAAATGACCGATCCTGATCAAGCTAGCCTGGCGCAGGGGCCTGTGCTCTCCCTGAGCGCTCCCGACACTCCGTGGGCTGAGTGCTTCAGCAACCGCTTCCGTACAGATGTGGGGTCATTTTTCAGAGCCTCTCTGCTGTCGCCCAGACTTGCCTCGAGCTGTGCTTGCTGTCCCTCCCTGCGCCTTGCCTTCCGGGTGGGCTCAGCCCTGGAGAGACTCCACCGCAGCGGTCTTGGTGCGAGAGGCCGAGAGGAGCCTAGATTGGTGCCTGCTGGACATGAGCTTTGCAATCTCAACCCAAGACATCTCAGCTGGGTTTGGAGTGCCGCTGGTGCTGGTGCTGGTTTATCCACTGTATGTAGCTACAGGGATATAGAGCCTACATACTAGGATTGCAGAAGACAGGCCCATTAACTTGCGTCAACACTACTGAGGCTCCGAGAGTAAGCAGGCCCCCCGTGTTCAAGGAGGGCCACCCTCACGCTGCTGGGTGTAACACCGGGGCAGCACAGCAAGCCTCTTATTGAGCCTGGGGTCCAGACGTATTGGCCTGTAGAGGCTCTGTTTGGCCTGCAGGGCGCACTCCTCTCTGTCGCCCCCTGTCGGCGTCCGTCCTCGGTGCCCTGCGGCCACCCCGTCTCTCGGACCTCGCGGCCGTGG